GGAGAGATTTCACATTCTTGGAGAGATTTCTCATACAAAGAGAGGTTTTGGAGAGATTTCACATATAGAGAGAGATTTAGGAGAGATTCCACATTCCTGGAGATATTTCTCATACAAAGAGAGATTTGGGAGAGATTTCACATATGGAGAGAGATTTGGGAGGGATTTCACATATAGAGAGAGATTTAGGAGAGATAGAGTGAAAGAGATTGAGAGAGACTTCTTTTGAGACCTTTTGAGTGTTTGGCTCTTTAATTCAAGGTTCAAAAACCTCGTTAAGTCTTGTTATGACTGTCATATGCCCCCGAGGGTTAAGGAATAATGTTTTATCGAGTAGTTTCATCACTTTCCCTGATTAGGGTTTAGAGTTTCCAAACACATGAAAACTCTAAGTGATACTTTGCATTAACAGTGCGAGTTGTTGAAGAATAAACAAAATGAAAACTCTAGTATACGAGGGTTAGATGAGTTGACCGGCTTGACTTGTTGACTTTAGTTGACTTTGACTTGACTGGAAATTGATAGTTGTCACATGAATTATGTTGGAAACCACTTTCCCCACGCCCATAACAAAATAGGGTGGTAGAATGCAAGCATAGACATATTCTTGAGATAACATGTGCATTAAAATTTGAATTAAACTTGTCAGTTAAGTTTTGGGGTGGCTACACCTTAACAACCACATACATTATTAATAAGATTCTTTTGAAGATAATAGAGTAGAAGACGCCTTATGAAATTGTTTTGGGGAAAAACCTGATTACAATCATATGAAAGTAATTAGATGTTTGGCTTGTGAAAGAAATTCTGAAACCAACATATATAAATTTGAAGTGTTAGGTAGACCATGAATCTTATTTGGATATCTACAAGGAAAAAGGGGGTATCACATTTTTGACATCAATGAAAAAATATCATTTTATCTAAAAATGTGAAATTTATTGAAAATATATTCCTTCTCACATCAGATTCCCAAGAGAATTTCTCTCAAAGTAATAATGAAAAGTTCCTAGACAAGACTTTCATGGAAGATGATGACATCATGAAAGAGGTAAATGGTGACGGAAAAACTGGGACACATGCATCTATAAAAGGCTTGGTACAAGACACTACTAGGTGTCTGACAAAACAATGTTAAATAAAACCACATGGTCAGAAAGCGATCCGATAAGAGATACCAGTGAACCTCCAATTTCCAACACACAGTCCATAGGGAACCTAAGAGATAGAAGAAACATAACCCAACCCAAACATATAAATGACTTCGTGGTGAATTTCCCCCATCGATAGACCATACATCACCAACATCTGATCAGTGTTCCTCGACGGTACACATTCTTGCAAACTTTATTTCATATGATAAATTCACTGATTCACAAAAGCCTTCTTGGCAGCTATTAGCTCTAATGAAGAGCCCAAATATTTTAAATAAGCCATGTAGGATCGTAAATGGAGAGAATTCAGGCAAAAGGTGGTAATCGATTCACCCTGGAGCCACATATAGTTATCGAGACTTGAGACTTAGTTATTGGTAGCCATGCATGAAGCGGGAGATTACATGGTACGTGGAGAGATGTTTGACCTGTCGGATGGTCAAGACTGAGCACTAGAGGCCGCATGGCAATTTGTAGCCCTTGGAAGTTCCGTTGTAAATGTGACAATGGAATGAAATTCGTTGTAGATGATATTCCGTCGTATATTTCGTAGTAGGATTCCATCACAAATTTTGAGGTAGTGAATCCCTAGAAAATTTCGTGCTGATGAATCCCTAGCAAATTTCATGGTGCTGAATCCTTAGCAAATTCCTTGGTGGTGAATCCTTAGCAAATTCAGTGGTGGTGATTCTCTAGCAAACTCTGTGGTGATGAATCCCTAGCAAATTCCGTGGAGGTGATTACCTAGCAAATTTTATGGTGATGAATCTCTAGCAAATTCCATGGTTGTGGACCCCTAGCAAATTTGGTGGTGATGAATCCCTAGCAACTTCTGTGGTGATGACTCCCTAGCAAATTTTGTGGTCATGAATCCCTAGCAGTTCCCATGGTGTATATGATGTAGCAGATTCCATAGGGACGAATGGATAATCAATTTATAAATTAAATCCAAATTGTTTTGAAGTAATATATGAAAAACAAAAGTAACAAAAAAATCAAATAAAATTTTATCATAAAATAATAAAATAATTATTTATTACATGGAAAATGGAAAGTGGCTACTCTAAAATAAATACTTCGCAATAAACATATCAACACTTTATGACCTACTAGTTTTGTTGTTCTGTAATAACTTTAATAAGATCCATTGCCGATTTAAGTTGTTTATCAAGTTGCTCGACTCTTGCATTGTATTGGTCTTCTTTGGCCTTCATTATTTTTTTAAGCTCTTCGTTTTGCAGTTTTTGTTTAGCAACAAGCTCCCTCAATTCTTCTATTTCATCATTTTTTTCTGGAATATAAGATACATCCGTTTTACCATTAATCTTGGGAACCATCTTTACAAAAGAGTCTAATCCATAAACTCGTCTTTTTTTTTTTGTCATGACCACCACCAACATCACAAAATATTTTGTCATCCTCAAATTCAGCACCTTCAGCTTCCATCTCTTTCCGTTTTTCTGTATATTCCTCCTACAAAATAATAATAATTTATATTAAAAGATATCAAAGTTATGAACGAAATTAAGGACTAGATACTATATAAAAGTTTAATTGCACTAAAATGAATATTACATGAATTTGTCTATCTTTTTCATTTGAAAATGTGACTCCATCATGATTCTTTGTGCGTGTATACAGGAACAATTCACTATGGGGTGGATCATGTCCTAATTTCCTCTTCTACATAAATACCATAAATTGTGAAACATACACATATATATAAACATTGATGTACCGTTAAAAAATTACCAAATCAGAAGCTATCTTTAAATGATTTGTGGATCTAGTGTTATAGGTAGGTTGTGTTATTCTATCATCTAGACCGTTACACTTATTTTTATTGTTATGCTCAAATTTCAACTTGCATTCATTTGTATTCCATTTTGCTTGCCAGGAGTTCCCAACTTCTTGTGAAATATGAGTTGGTTTAAAGGCATGTGGGTTTCTTTGTCGGCTTTGCATGTTGTAGAGATATTGGCCATAACTTTATGCCGCTTTACTTGCCTAAGCTTGCCTCACCAGCGAGTCTATTGTCTGACCCCAACAACATTTTTCATACCACATTAACAATATAAACATAATTTTAAATGTAAATGTTTACGAAAAAACAATTTATCTCATATAGCTAGAACTCCTCCCAATATAATTCACGCATTTCTTTGCTTACTTTTCCCAAGTGTAGCCTTCTGGATCTACTCTTTGTAAAAAGGACTGACTAATAATGTGTGCACAAGGTCCTGGTGGAATGAGCCTGTAAATAATCATGTGATCATTTTAGTTTTGAATTAATATGTACGTGTACACCAAAAGGTTATACATAGAAAAACGTTGTAAGATATGATTGGTAACTTAAGTTTTTTGTCAAACATGAACAGTTAAACGTCCATCTCGTCCATAATATTCAGAGAAATTGTTTTCACCTTATACATTTTCCACAACAGATCCATTCACGGTTGGTTGTGTTGATGATGGGGTAGATTCTGGGGCAGGTGCTGGGATAGATGTATATCTTGAGGATGCGGTAGTTCCATTAGGTAACGAGGAAGTGGTAACTACTGTAGTTTTTTAGGATGCTAGTGTCGATAAAGGAGTTGAGGTTTTGGTAGTAGATATAGGTGTTGATGATATGGTAGTTGATGTCGGTGATGAGGAAGGTTTGATGATGTAGGTAATGAAGTATTGGTTATAGATGTGGTGTTGAAGATGGTATTGATGGTCCAGATGTTGAATTTTTAGATGTATTTGTTGAGGATGGTGTGAATGTTGTAAGTGATACTAAGGAAGTGGTAGTGATCAATGGTGTTATTGATTTAGGTTTAGGGGTTTTGGTGCTAGATGTTATAGGTGCATTGGATGTGTTTGATGATTTTGAGAAGTCAACTTCTTCATCTAGTAATTGTCTGCTTATGAATTTTGCAGTTGAAGTCCTTTTGCGGTTCAAAACCTGAAGTGCAATGAATTTAGTTGACTTCACACCTGATGCTCCTTTTTGTTTCAAGTTTGACATCTTTCCTGCTTAAAAATAAACAAAAAACTATAGCTAATACCAATTTATTAAAGATGATAAATTATTGATGAGCAGAGAACAATCATACAATAAAAATAAATTATAGATGAAGGCATTATTACGCATGCATACTATTGAATACAAATTTTGAATAATATTGCCTACGTCGTTAACATGTAATTAAAGTGCGGCAATCATAGATTATGAAAGCAAAACCAATGTAGTTGTAATTTAAGATGATAATATATATATATATATATATATATATATATATATATATGAAGATGACCAGAGAACAAGAAAAGTGATCACGACAATAGTAAATTAAATAAAAATAAATGTTAGATGAGTAATAACCTATATTACCAAATTCAATGCACAAACGTAACGAAGAAATGTAGATTTCGATCAATTAGGCATCATAGATGATTATAGAAAATATAAACCCCTATTTCTACTAAGTTAAATCACCCTAATATGCAACCCTAACATGTGTAGGTGAGATGGAAAGGAATTGCGAATTTTTTTGAATCTCCATGAGAAATCCAAACTGTACGTACAAATTAGTGCTAAATATTTAGTAATTCAAGTTTTTTAAAGTAGTTTCGTGATATAGAAAGGGTATATAACGTCAAGAAAGAACAAAGAGTAACAAGGTTTTCATACCTTAATTTTAATTTAAAATTATAAGCGAGAATTAAACAATAATAAATTATACATCTTTATGTTGCTATGTTTGAAGCAAAATTTATATATAAAAGGAGTATGGGTTGTGTGTCATGTGTTAGCTGCTAATAGTGTCATGGTAATACCCATGGATGCATGACATATGAGTCATGGGTCATGTGTTAGTTGCTTATAGTGTCATGGTAATACCCATGGATGACATATGGGTCATGGATCATGTGTTAGTTTCTTATAGTGTCATGGAAATACCCATGGATGACATATGCGTCATGGGTCATGTGTTAGTTTCTTATAGTTTCATGGTAATACCCATGGATGACATGTGGGTCATGGGTCATGTGTTAGTTTCTAGTAGTGTCATGGTAATAGTCATGGATAACATATGGGCCATGGGTCATGTGGTATGGTAACAACCAATGTTTTGAAAACCGGACTGGACATCGAACCGGTCGTCTTACTGGGTCGATGGTTCAGTTGGTCCGACCGGTTGGACATGTCCTAAAAACTGGAAAAACCGGATATATATATATATATATATATATATATATATATATATATATATATACACACACACACACACACACACACGTAATGTGTTTGTGATTTAAATATATATGTAATATATAATGTGTGTGTGATTTAAATATATAGTAATATATTAAGAGGCATGTTGTGTAAAAGTGTAAAGGAATTGGAAGTATATTTGAGGAATATGGAAGCATTTTGAGGCATCCCACATCGACAGGGGAGAAAAAGTTAAAAGGAATATGAAGTTTATAAAAGGAGCCTTACGAGCGTTTGAAAGAATAATAAAAAATATCTTTACAATGGGCTGGCTTTCATAATCCGGCCTGCTGCCTTGGGCTGTATATTAAAAAACCAAAATTTTGATCAATAAACTGGTTTTAATTCCGGTTCAATTAGTCCGGTTTAATCCGGTTTTTAACAAAACCAGTGGTTTTTAGCGGTTTGGTTTTCAAGCGGTTTTTGGGTGCTAAAAAACCGGTAACCTAACCGGTTCCCGGTTGAACCGGCCGGTCCGGTCCAGTTTTCATAACACTGGTAACAACCATGGATGACATATGGGTAATGGGTCATGTGGTAGTTACTTATAGTGTCGTGATAACACCTATGGATGACATATGGCTCATGGATCATGTGTTAGTTACTTATAGTGTCATGGTAACACCCATGGATGACATATGGGTCATGGGTGTGATGGTAACACCCATGGATGACATATGGGTCATGGGTCAGTGTGGTAGTTGGTTATAGTGTCATGGTAATACCTATGGATGACATATGGGTCATGGGTTAATGTGGTAGTTAGTTATACTGTCATGGTAATACTCATGGGTGACATATGGGTCATGGGTCAATGTGGTAGTTGGTTATAGTTTCATGGTAATACACATGGATCACATATGGGTTATGGGTCAATGTGGTAGTTGGTTATAGTGTCATGGTAATACTCATGGATCACATTTGGGTCATGGGTCAATGTGGTAGTTGGCTATAGTGTCATGGTAATACCTATGGATTATGGGCCATGGGTCATGAGGTAGTTTCTTATAGTGTCATGGTAATACCCATGGATGATATATGTGTTAAAGTGTCATGGTAATACCTATGGATGACATATGGGTCATGGGTCATGTGGTAGTTGCTTATAGTGGCATGGTAATACCCATAGATCACATATAGGTCATGGGTCATGTGGTATGGTAACACCCATTGATGATATATGGGTCATGGGTCATGTGTAGTTGGTTATAATGTCATGGTAATACCCATGGATGACATATGGGTCATAGGTGCGGTAGTTGGTTATAATGTCATGGTAATAACCATGGGTGACATATGGGTCATGGTTCAATGTGGTAATTGCTTATAGATTCATGATAATATTTTTGGATCATGGGTCAATGTGGTAGTTGGTTATAGCGACATGGTAATACCCATGGATCACATATGGGTCATGGGTCAATGTGCTAGTTGGTTATAATGTCATGGTAATACATATGGTTGACATATGGGTCATGGGGTAGTTGCTTATAGTGACATGGTAATACCCATGGATCACCTATGGGTCATGGGTCATGTGATATGGTAACACCCATGGATAACATATGGGTCATGGGTCAATATGGTAGTTAGTTATAGTGTCATGCTAATACCCATGGGTGACATATGGGTCATGGGTCAATGTGGTTGTTAGTTATAATGTCATGGTAAGTTGGTAAAAATACCCATGGATCACATTTGGGTCATGGGTCATGTGGTAGTTTATAGATTAAAAAGGCATATATCAATTGTGTGGGTTGTGTTTTAAAATAGGTTGATTTTTGACAAAACTACCCTTACTAATCAAATATGAGTCTTTGTATGTATGAGTAGTTTGTTGATATTTACTTTCATATTATGACAATTAATGATATGTACACTCTTTTGGTTTAATATATGAATGTAAAGTAAGTTAGTCGATAAGTAGCTAGTTAATGTTGTTACTTGATTAGTAAATATGTTGTGTTTTTAATAAAGGATTAAAAATGTAAAAGTTTGGAAAGTAATGTGGCAAGATGAAGGTCAACAAAATTTTACTAAGGGACTAAAAGTATTAAAGTTTGGAAAGTCCTGTGGTAAAATGAAAGTCAACAAATGCTTACTATTCCCAACTTGGTCAAGCTTTAGTATATATACATATTATAGTGTTTATATTATGTTAGTAAAATTAAATGGTTGTGTTATAATTATCAATTTTGACATATACGTTAATTTAGTGTATGTTACTTTTATGACAGTAGGTGAATTGTGTATACAATTGTTGAGGTTGTTATTTTGTGTTAATAAGTATAATAACGTTACAAAACGATTTCAGTTTTTGAATTAATAGTATTGAAAAAAATACCCTTACCATTTACATATGAAGCTTTGTATGTAGAAGGGAAGGTAGGTCAATTCACAGTCTAAACACTTAGGCGCCATAATTTGGAGTCAGAGTCATCCCATCGTTTCAGTTTTTCAGCGATAGATCAACTACAAAAAATTCCCGAACATCAAACTTCCAAAACGGTGATCAATAAACCCTAAAATCCTTGTTCTTGCATTATGTGTATTACACAGCAGTTCAACTTCATGGCAACGAGTTCTTCATCAGCAAGAATTCGAACAAGACAGCATGGAACAATGATTACTGCTCTGCCATCGCAAATGTTCGATAAAATAGTAACTATGGTTGCGGGAAAATCACCAATCGATGTTTTTAAGTGCCAGTTTGTGTAAGTTTCATGTACAATACTTATATTATATTTGTATATGTAGTTAATTTTGTTTTTAATAGATGAATTTTGTTAATTTGTAACTTATAGTTGCAAACTCTTTAGAGATTTTGCAACATCATAAGCAATATATAAAACCATAGACACATATCAATTAAAGTTTCGTCCATTTAGTGTTGATATGGATGAAGTCATCCGCAGAGGTAGAAAGTTGAACAACCCACACATACTCTTCAAATATGGGATTGTACTCTTTTTTATGCATTCTATTAATTACACTTGCAATTTGTTATATGTATTTGTATTTGTTTATATTAAAATTGTATGAGTACTTACTTTATTTCAGGCGAAGTAATTTTTGTTAGGAGAAGATGAAGCAAGGAATCAGTTGCTTCAAGATGCAGTCGATAAGGAACAGCTGGATGCAATATTCGTTATGGGAATGTTGTTGATGGCCGAAGGCAGTGAAAGGAAGCAAGAAGCTCTGATCATGTTGAATAATGCTTACATTATTACAAGAAGAATTTGGAATCTGAGACAAACCTGTTACAAGGTTCGAAGCCACTTGGTTACGGAAGAAAGATCAAAGTAGATGCAATTCCATGGCTTGCATAAAAGTTGTGCAAAGCATCTTTTTGTGAGCAGACATGGTAAGGTTTTTATGCATGAATATAGTTGGTTGTTTAATTGTGATATTTTTTTGTGGGATGCATGTTTGGTTGAGTTTTCTAGGATGTTTGACATTAGTATAGAGTAGTTATATGATGTTTGGTTGATTCAGACAATTAGTGATGTATATTATATTTGTATTTTGGTGTAATGTGAATATATACTTCTAATTTGGTGAAATGTTAATATATATTTTTAATTTGGTTTAATATTAATACATAAAAGTAATATATTTTGGATCTGGTAATTAGATTGTGCACTGTGTATGGTATATAGTAAAGTAGTAACTTGATGATGTTAATTTGTTTAAGTTTGATCATTTATTACATCATGGTAAGTTTCAAAAAGTTTTTTTGCTTACCATTTGAATTTCTATCATTGTAATTATTTAAAAAATCAAACATTGTTTTTTTTTTTTATAGTTATTTTGGGTTTACAATTTAGGCTTTGCATTTAACACTATAATTTATATATTTTAACTATTTATAAAATAATATTTGTATTTTATTTTAAGTTTAGTTGAAAATTTGATTTAAGTGAGCCCTTTAACGTTATATTTAAACTAATAATTTAAGTATTTCATACTATTCAAAGCTGTGACTTTATTATGCATGGTATTTAAATTTATTACCTGTGTACTACACGAGTTTTAACATAGTATTGAATAATATCCACCAAATACTTTGACCTAGTATCCATCCACCACATCGAAATCAAAGGTTGTCAAAGGTTCCCTCATACACTCTTTCTTTGAAACTGTGTTATACAATTCTCAAATTCAATTAAACCATTCTACAAATATTGTACGCCATTATCAAATCATCAAAGTGATTCAACCATACAAATGACAAAACTTTGAAATTTGGTTCATTAACCGGTCATTAACTTTGTGAAACGATTTGTAGTAAAGGTACCTTTGCAATATTTATATTGTACACATATATTTACTTCAAATCCCATTTATCAATTCGAAGCCATACAAATGAATATAATATTATATTATTTAAATGTATATTTTACATATTTAATTAACATTATGAACAATACCAATAGAACGTGGATGTATGAAATAAAAGATAACCGAGGTTGTGTATCGTCTGTTTTCATACAAGGAGTGACAAAATTCATAGACTTTGCTACCAGTCAGTAAAGGTTCATGGACAAAAATAGAATCAAATGCTCATGCATTAAATGTCATAACATACCATATAGAGACCCTGATACTGTTAAGCATCATTTGTACAAGTCAGGTTTTGTTCAAGAATATTGGTTTTGGGATAAACTTGGCGAAACATCCATTGATAATGACAATACGTCTTTAGGGTTGGATGATTCAAGCACAAATTTGAATGAAGGTGGATGTACTTATAGAGAAATTTCGTAACAAATGTCATCACAAACTAGCTAGGCTTTTTTTCCATTGCAAAAGAAGCAAAGGAAATCAAATTTCATAGTAGAATTACCTAGCAAATACCTACGAATGGTACTTCCATGGCAAGGCAACTATGGAATTGTTTTCCACTGAAAATTTCCATTGCATATTAACCATGATAATTCATTCCATAACAGTAGTACAACGGAAAGTGTTTTCTTAAAAATTTTCGTTGGAAAATTGCTACGAATGTTTTTTCCATAGAAATATCGGTAGCATAATAGAAATGAATATGGATTCGGTAGCATTTTCCCTAGCAATTCCCATGCTCGCTATTGAAAATAAATTACGTAGACAATATGGTAGCAACCTTGCTATGGAACGCCATTGCATAGCACAATGCATTGCAGATTAACAACGAAAATATGTTCCATAACACCATTCTGTAGCAAAATCGCATTTTTCTTGTAGTATAAGGGTATCACCCTAGAAGGGTGTTATACGCTTTAGGAAAATGGGCGAGTTGGGACCCCAATTTATCAGACCATTCCAGATGATAGCCAGAGTAGGAAAGGTGGCCTATCGAATAGATTTGCCTAATGAGATTAGTAAGATTCACATAACCTTCCATGTTTCTCAACTCCAGAAGTATGTGTTTGACGATTCGACGATGATCCCCTTAGATGACATTCAGGTTGATGAGCACCTAAATTATGTGGAAAGACCGATAGCGATTCTAGGCAGGAAGACGAAGTCCTTACACAACAAGGTGGTACCATTAGTCAAGGTCCAGTGGCAGCATTGGAAACGTTTCGAGTGGACTTGGGAACCTAAGGTAGAGATGTGGGAGCATTACTGTGACATCCCAGAATTTAGGTCAAAGACTGTGAACGGTCAAGTTCACAGTAAGTTTCTTGGTAATTTTATTCATTGAGTTTTAGTGCATCTTATGTTAAATAAATGAGTTCATTTCAACTATTATAAGATACCAGATGTTATCTTATTTCCAAATATGTAATCTGGCACACAAATCAAACAGCTCAAACTGCAACCATACGAATGCGTTTGAAAAACTTAATTTGGTTTTAAGTCGTTGTAAGAAAAACAAACACTCTAGTATTGTAGTAAATATTTTTTTGTTTCCAAAAATATAAAGAACGTCCAAAATGGAGTTCGTATGCAAAAGATACAACCGTTTTAATAACCCAAAACAAGTATAATACTGATTTTCATAAAACCACTAAAACCGTTTCTATCAGTTGAGGGACTTGCACACCTCAAATGGAAATTTTAAAAGCATTTTTGGAGTCAGGCTATAGCCTAATATTTAATTTCATATTTGAAATAATTTTAGTAAAAATATTTATAAAAGTTGAAAAATCAAACGTTTTTAGATTTATTAATCGTGAAATATTAAACTATTGATTTCGACATGATTCCTATTATTGGTAATGTATTCTGGAAAAATATAAAAATTCAATGCCGATTGATGCGAATTTTAATTATGGAAACAACATAATATTTCAAAAATCTTGTTTACTTATTAATATAGGGGTGAGAGACATAGTTTATAAACAATTATAAGTAATGGTTATAATTTCTATAAAAGACATATTATTTGACAAATGGTCATCAAATAACAAAATGTTTATAAGTTGTATAACAACTTCAATTGATCCAAATTAATCATGTATAATAAACTAGTTGTGAGACCCATATGTTATATGGGTTGGGTAAAACAAAATATATATATATATATGAAGTTTCAAACAAAAAATTATTTAAATTTGAAATTTTAGATTTGAAATTTAAAATTTAAAATTTAAAATGAAACATATTAAATACAATATATCTCTATATTAATAAAAGAGTAGCACTTTTGTCATGTGTCACCATATTAGACATTATAATTAATGTGTTGCCACTTGTCAATCTATTAGTTTTCCATTTTAAATTTAGTAGACCTCCTCATTAATGTGATTCTATTTTAAATTTTAAATTTTAAATTATTGTTTTCATTAATTCACAAATAAAAAATATTTAATATATATTAAAAATTAATTTTATATATTTATTTGAATCAATGATTATAATTTCACATAACTAATAAAAAATATCTCTTAAATTAATAATTTATTTAAATTAACTCATTAATAATTTTTAGTTTTTACTATAAAAGTTTGATTAATTTTATAACCTTGGTTCCCACGGGTTATAAACTAATAAGTACTAATATTGTAATTTATTAACTGTTTTTAATTAAGACAATTATTAATTTATGTGTAAATTTGATTTGTTAATTAAGAAAAGATAAATTTTTTTTTGAGAAAATGACAAATGGAAAAAATATTTATTCAAAAATAGCAAAAAATGACATGTGTCCAATTCAATGTAAGAGTGATATTTGGCAAAAAAAAAAAAGAAAAAAAAAAAAAGAAAAAAGAATTTTTTTTTTTATTAGAGTTAACCTAATGTAACGCTCGTGTATTACACGGGTTTTGATCAAGGTTTAAACATTAAACATTTTTAAAGTATAATTTCAAATTAAATACAACTTAGATGATGAATACGTAAGTATTTCAATGTATATACTAATAAAGATAACTACTGAAAGAAATGAATGTAAGATATTACAAGGAACAATTCAATAAACATACATACAAACTCACTTATTTAGAAATATGAATTGTCAAAAGGGTAAATAGTAAAATTTCAATGCACATATTTGACATATATGAAAAAGCAAAAAAGGAAATTTCGTGCCTTGGTTATGATATTAATTAATTGATTTGAACTTATATTCATTTAAAATCGTCCAAATCAATTCCCCAAAATTAATCCCCATAAATTAGGAATCAATATTTTTAACTCTTATAAAATTTCCTTATTTAAAAAATCCAAGTGGCAAAAAGTCTAAGAAGATGACAAGTGGTAAAAAGTTCTTTATTTATGAGGGATGATGTGATTTGTGAAACTCTTGAGTTTTCTATATAATCCTCACACAAGTAAACTTAATTAATATTAAAAGTATATGTGAAAAATGGGTATAAATGATTTCTTAAAATCCCAAACAATCACCATTAGAATTCTATTAGAAGTCTAAATGATACTTAAGAATGACAAGTTGCTATTCTTTCCATGCTCGGTCATCATTTCCCACACAAGCATTCAAAATGATTCACCAACTTACACTTACACTGTGGATGTATATTTCCTACTACCATCTAAATTGTACAGTCAAAGATCAAGTTAAAATCAAATCAAATCCTAAATTATAAATTGTACACCAAAAATCACGTTAAAATAAAATCAAATCTGAGGGATCAGATTTTATATATACAATTACAAGTTAAATGTGAAATAAAAGAGCTCCCTTCACCCATCTTTCCCTCGGTGAAGACAGTAAAACCACAGCTCCCTTGCTGTCAATCGAACCCTCCAAAACCCCATGAGAATCGTTTTTGCTGCTACCTTATTCCTTCATCGATCGCTATGAGAAACACCCCCTGCTACATTCTTTTTTTTCGCCATTGGACCAGAAACATTAGTAT